GGATGGGCGGTCGGGAAGCTGCATACCCAGCCGACGTGGCAAATGGGTTCGATCGTGCAGTGTCAGCGCGCAGCAGAAGGGGAACACGGATCCACATTTTTGCGTCACAAAACCCGCTGTAAACAGTCCAGAGCTCATTTATCGACCTCTGAGCAGCTGTCCTATGACAAGCCCTTTACGATGTGCGAACTTAAGTTAGCAATCAGCGCGCTGCGTAACGTATGCGAGGGTGCCCCGATGGCGCTCTTTTACGTCACCTACCATTATGGGCACTGGAAGTGCTGCTCACAAATTTTTATGTCACTGTGAGAGAACGGCGATTCCCGGTGGACTGGTGGGAGGCAGTGCTTATTCCCGTCTTAAAACCGGGAAAATCAGGTTAAGATCCGCTTGACTGTCGGTCCATTTCGCTCACATCATCACTCTGCAAGTTAGCCCTATCCCTGATTCGCGTTTTTTAATAACGCCGACTGATAGGTGGGTTGATGCGACCCTTGCCACCGTTTGCAAAGCAATAAAGATTACGCTTAGCGAAAAACATAAGTAAATTAGTCTCAAGGATATCTCGCGATTAGTAATGGTAATGAGGCGCTTGTTGGTAGGTCCATAATTGACCTCATGATGCCAGGTCAGATGTCAAATTGCCTCGGATATTTAACTTTTTCATCTTTGCGTACTCATATGTAAGGGACCATGCGACATTGCGACGCGAACCTAAGCAGGTGTACTCTTTGTTCAATTCTGAATGTAATGGTGTGCATTTGCATCTGTTATAAGCTTACACTTGTGATACATGGTTATGTTAATGTAACAATATCGACCCAGCGTGGGCGGTCCATGCAATCGCCGCTTGCCGCCCGCCGCCTGTGCTGGCCGTAGATCACCGTGCGGTGCTCCTCAAAAACCGCCACTGCTCTGGAGGTAGGAGAGCTAGGGCCACGTGTTGTGTCAAAGCACGTGCACTAAATGTTACATATGCTACTGAAAATGTGGTCGTGAATGCGCCACATACCAGAAAGGTATCCTTAAAAAATAGCTTATGAGGGGACCGCATCAACCCCGTATCAGGGGAATAGCTAATGAAAGAACGGTGAATAGGCCACTTATTTGGTTTTAGAACAACAGGGTCTCTTCCCAAATGAGCAGCGTGACTTAAGAAAGTAACGTAGCATTGCAAACCATATTTTAAACAACATTACTATGATAAATGCCACTTTTCACAAAAATCAACACGTTCGGCCCAGTTTCCTGTGATATTGAGACTGCTCATCTTATCACTCCGCACCATGGTATTCTCGCAAATATTGTTAAACACGGTATACGAGGTTTTATGTGAGCACCTTTTCCCAAACTGCTTATCCGACGTGTTTCAAGTCCGCGTGGGTGGAGAACCAATTCTTGAAAAGGGTTTCTCCAGGTCAGTGAAGTACCACACAGCTACAGCTGGGTGATGGCGTGGTGTTGTTTGCCGACACGGTCAGCGACATTGGCGACGAGCTGCAGCGGTCGCTTGGTCTTTCTCTGTTCGTTAACGTTTTTACTATGTGGTCTTGTGTAACGAGTACACGGTGCATGGCGCGACAGCTGGCCAATGGTCGTCTCGAAATATGTGACGCGGTGAATGGTTTCTGTTTAATGGCTGGCAAAACAGCTGCGGTGCACGTTTGTCACCGACGACGTCACTGTCAGATATATAGGCCCGACTATGCGAGGAACTAATCTAGCTGCAACCGGCAGTCAAGTTCTTGGGCATAATTAAGGACAGCCGGCTTGCTGACAAAGACCGTTTTACATTGCTTCGAAAAAGGTGTTCCGTCACGCACCCGGGTGGCCAGTTGGATGCCCTTCGCTCGGGTGTGGGTCAATTTGACCCCTTTGAGTTCTCAGACACTAAGAGAACTAGAGAACTAAATTCATAGAGTGTATTGACCTGTACGTGACCGCGCTTGAGTAAAGGTCTAAGGTTGCTTTTCATGACCTTTTGGTCAAATAATGTCAAACAAGATCAAACTCCACCTTGGTCTCCAAAGGGCCCCAGAACTTAGATACCTGTCCTAAGCAAAAGGTCACATGCTCATTCAAAGCTAGTGACCTTGTTTGACCTTTCGAAGGCCATGGTGACGAAAATAACACAAGATGACTTTCATTTTTGCATTTGAATAAGTGTCAAAGATTGCGCCAGGTAGCATATTTTTGAAAACAAAGTGTTTACCTGGGTCATTCTAGGTCAGTTTCTATTATTCCATTCTGGCCTTTAAGAAGTCCATTGAAAGTGTGTAATGCGGTTCCTGTTGTGAATAAATTTGAAATGAGCGCCAGAAGCTGCCTCCTACGGCAAGCCCTAGGTCAATAAAGACGATTGGTTTTGACCTTGAGCTGATCTTTATACATGACCCTTTGTCAATGTAATTGTCCATCGATTTCTGTATTTCCTGAGAGAGAATCTCAGCGATATATGGCTTCGTCTAACACTCCGGTGTTCCACCAGATTGAACGACTCCCCAGAAATCGACGTCACTAAATCTATAGCCTAATTTTTACCTGCCGAAGGTCAGCAACCTCATGAGGTTTTCCTATATTTGTTGATGCTTAACGATCCGCCATTCAACAGTCTACAGCTATGCACAGTTAAGTTGGGCTACGCCGCGCCGTTCGGATATCATTCCGGAAATACCTTTGGAGGGTCGAATTGACCTCCCACCCGAGCGCGTGTTAACTCTCAGAGCATGTTAAAATGTGGTGCCCGTACATTTTACGGAGCAGACAGAAAAACACTTTTACTCGCATTTCGTTCCTTGGTTCACTTCAAGCTTCGCTAATGCTGTTCTTACGCAAGCCTGTTGGCAAAGACACAGGGGCCCCATTGTTTCTTCTCAGGAAAGCTCTAGGAATGCGATATGCTGTCAAGTTGCGTCAGTCCCCGTCACGCCCTGCGAATGAGACATTCTTAGCTCAGCTCAGGTAACCTTCGCGCATCGAGTTCCTCTTCCGGTAAAATATTTTTACCCAGCCACCACTGCCTTTTTGCAATGCAAATGGCGGCAGCTGCGAAACGTGATGACAGGCAGTAAGCTCAAGGGAGTGAAGCCGTAGTTGGCGATGTTGCAGTCGTGCTTACCTCGCCCTCTCGCAGAGGCGACGGTAGTGTCTCTGCGCAGTTTCCGTGTTGCGCTTACACATGCGACGCATGGCTTTCTGCTTTGCGCGGGGCGACCGACCCGTGTGTTCATGCTGTAACTCGCCACTTACATTATTTGATGTTACCTGATTTGTCCAAACATTGCATACATACTTACCTTTCCATACGTTGTTTTGTTTCTCCATTTAGTCGAAACGCGCATGCGACATTTTAGACAAACCACGGGAATCTTGAACTTGAGCGAAACCCTCGGCGACGACTCGAATGCCATTTACACGGGCCAGCTCTTCTCTTCCCTATTGACTACCAGATTTTCCGCTGCATATACGGCCCGGTTAAAGGTTGACAAATGATCTTGGGCGTCATCAAGCCCTTACAGGAAGTGTTTCACATTTGTCTGATGGCTTGAGCTGAAATAGCCATCTTGAAGACATTTCGATGCTGTTACAATTCTGTTCTTAAGACCTAAGCCCCTATAGTTTCTGGGCTTCACGCTCGCTAAAATATGGAAGGTTTTTTTTTTGGGGGGGGGGCATTTCAGAGTCACCTTGGCATTCATGACGTCACAAGAACATCACTGAAATTCTGCCATTTCATAATACATGCAGTGATGACGGCAAAGAAAACAAAATTGTTGAGGCGTTCATATCTGGCGTTCGTAAGCACGATTTCCTGGCAAAACGGCCGCCAGTTGGCTCCCAATCAATGTTATGCAAGATTCATTGATGCAATCGAACCCTGACGCATTGAGGAGCGTATTAACCTAACCGGATATTGTGCTCTCAAGATCAGCCTTTCCACTTAAAAAGGATACCAACAGTTATATGCAGGCTTGTTTTACTATAACTGATGTTCGCGTAAATATCTTCAGTTGTAAAAAATTTTCTTAACACGCGCTCGGATGGGGGTCAAATTGACCCTCGAAGGTTTTTCAAGCAGGTTTTTGAACGACGCGGCGTAACCGCGCCAAATTTTGTACAACTGTAAATAGCGTATCGTGGGGAACCACGAATTGAGATGTACCTTGTAAGGTCGCTGACTTATGGCGGGTCAAAGGCAGGCCATGGTCTCAGTAAAGGCAAGTTCTAGGAAATTGTTCAATCTGATGAGTGTTAGACGAAGCCACACATCTCTGAGATGCTTTCTTGGACAACACAACAATTGAATGAACAAATTGCATTGACCTAAGGTCAGGTATGAAGGTAAGATCAAGGTGAAAACCAGCATGTTTGTCCCCCTTGCGCTTACTGTATGGGATAGTTCCTGGTGTTAATTTCGGGTGAATTGATAAGAGGGGCCACCTTATACACCTTCCATAGACTATTTTAAGGCCAGAATAGGTCACTGACGTCGAATAACTCAGGTCAAGATTTTGTTTCTAGGAACATGCTGCCTAGGGTCATATTTATAGCTTATCCAGATACAAAACTCAAAGCAGTCTTGTATGATTTTGGTCATCATGACCTTTAAAAGGTCAAACAAGGTCACTAACCTTAGATGAGCATGATACCTTTTCCTTAGAATAGTTATCTAGGTCAAGTTATAGGGACCCTTTGGAGAGCAACCTGGAATTTGACCATGTGTGACCTTATGTGAACCGGAGGTCATGACCTAGGAACCTCAAACTTTGACTGAGTGAGTTCACGTACAGGTCAACACAATCTGTCAATTTGATGTCTCTAGCTCTCTTGGTTCCTCAGATCTCAGGGGAGGGGTCAAATTGATCCCCACCGGAGCGAAGGGTATCCAACCGGCCCCCGGGCGCATGTTTAAGTCCCAGCACCAAAATCATCAAGGCAACGGCTACACCGCCGCCACCGCTGTTGTGTTCTGTGCAATCAGCTGGACGCGCGGTCGGCGCATGGCGGAGCAAAGCGGCCAGAGGCGCGGAGCGAGCGGTGACGCCGACCTGCGACCGGCGCGCACACTGCGCGTGCAGTTCGACGGCGCCGTACACGAGTTGCTACTGACCGGCGACGCCGACACGGACGACGTAGAAGGTCAGTGCGTGGCCGGACGGCGTCGAGGGCTAGTGACTCACCGACGGTGCCCGAGGTCAGTGGACTTTCTAAACGTGGTGATGTGTGGAATGAGTGGAATACTGGATAGGATAGTTTATTAGGCATGTGAATGTTGCACTGGGTCTAATATCTGAAGCCATTCTCACCATAAATGCTATCATGCACCATGCCATGCGGACGTCCAGGACCCCCGAAACAGAAGGCATAGGGGCAAGCAGATGACTTCCGATTGGTCGGTGTGCAAAGTCAGCGGGCTTTCGAGACCGGAGAGCACGGAGGCTTTGGAAGAACGCAAACGCCCTGGATCGCACGGCATAGATGGTCAGTGACACCAAGGGACAAAATGTCATAGGTGCTCTGTGGAAGTCCCGTACATCCCCAAATGTCTGTATGGTCAGAGGACCTTCGGAACGGTAGTATGAATGCCAAACGAAGTCCTGCTCCGGGCGGTATGGATATTAGGCGGATATCCTGAACGGCGGACGTTAAAAAGGATCGGTTGACGTCCCGGGCCGTGTAGTCAGGAAGATCGGCGGATATCCAGGGCCGAAATGTGCAAAGCGCCGGTGTGAATCTGGACTGAACGCTATAGATGGCCAGTATACGTCCTTGACCAAACCGTGTGGAAAGGTAACCTCCACACCAACGGTAGAGGGGCAGTGGGTGGTCTACCGTGCCTTTTTGGGAAACAGCTGAAGAATGGGTTTCGCTTGCCTCTTGATTTTTTTCGTGTTTTCTATTACACCAATCTTACGAACATGAAGTCGTCAAGTCCAAGTCTTTTTAGGTAAGTCATGTATAGCAGCTTTGCTTAGAGTGTGTCGGACCAGAACACAAGTAATCTGGAGGTATTCCGGCAATTATGGTAATATGGGCTTCATGTGGTCTCTGGTAGATGGTAACAACCGTCTACTACCGTGTTGTGTCGATGTTATTAATTTTTACTCCAACAGCAAGCTTTAGTCGCATGTAAGTCTCGGAGACCATCATAGGTCACTAAAGTTACTTGACCTTCGGCCTGCATTTGGAAATATTGCGAATTATTGCCAGCATTGATTGGTCCCATTTGCCCTTTCAGTCTGCAATGCCGGTTACAATTCTCCGAGTGGTAGCGATGAATCAAACATGTCATGTTGGGATTATGACGGCATTGTTGCTATATGATCAGGAGGTCTGAGTTATGGATATCTGTGTTAATTTCTATCCTTGCAATCCTTCCATCAGCACCCCATTTTTCCAGATATGGCACAAGTATCTTGACCTCAGAAAGCACGACAGAGGTGACAAACCTTAGTAGGGACTCAAAATGAGGTTTTGCTGAAATTGGTTCTGACGCTATCCAAGGCTGCTGCCAGTAAAAAAAGAATACAACTAGCTGTAAAACACGCTTCTCGTTTAAAGAAAACCCCAAATGATCTCGATGGCTTCTGTTCATCTGTGTGAAACGCCCTCTTGTCGATCTGAATCAAGTACACGCAGTCCTTATAGCATTACGTGGGTACGGGCACGACAAGGCAAGCTCAAGAAGCATTATTTGGGAAAAATCTGATTAAACAGGCCGAAGCGTTATTTGGTCTGATATGACCTTCATACCAACCTTAGGCAATGACATGACCTGTTGCTTAACTTGCGTGGACTATCGAATAACCTTTCTTCCGTTTATCCTTTCCAATTCCAGGGTACCAAGGGGGATATATGTACGTACCTAGGACTCCCCACCCCCGCACACCCCATCAGGTTGAAATTGGTGCCGACCACCACCATCAGCGTGCGGGAGTTAATAAACGTCCCGGACCAGACGCTGTTTGAAAGTCCATGGACCTCCTGGGCCGAATGTTAAGGACATCAGTTGACTGTCGAAACCGAGCAGTATAGAAAGACATAGGTTGATTTGGACCGGATAGTTAATGCCTCTTTTTTCCCTGTGTTTTCGTGTCGAATTGACCAGACACTGCGCAGCTCCGACCAGCGAAACATTGCGGTTTCTCCCACGGGATTAATGCTGAAATATCTGCGCAAGGACGACGGAAGTCGCACGGCGAATTGTTAACCCCTCAAAATCAGAAAAGCGGCTACAGCACTGCTGCATTAGGGATTCAGTCGAGAGTGCATGGGGTACAAATCATGACCGATGTCCTGCGATATGTATCACCTTGAATCCCAATAACTGGACGATCGATTTCATGCTCTTGTTGCATAAGCAGACGGCGCTATAACCCCACGGATACATGTATCATTGTACATCTGTAACTTTAGGGTATTGAATCACTAAAATGATTGTCATGACCACTGGACACCACCACAGTAGCCATGAGCGTCCGCAGTGCGCGGGACTGTCCAGATACTGCACAGGCCAACAAGCGGGACCGGTGGCCCACAACCGCCCAGTGCGTCTCGTATCTTCGCTTGACTTGGGCTTATGAGCTGCTCTTCGACCGATGCGGGTAATTTCATCATTAGAGTACTGAGAATTCGAGTGGCACATAGCGAGGTCTTACTCAATAACTAAGCCCGTATCCTGGAAAAAGCCCCCGTTCCAGGCCGCCCTCATGCCAACAGCCCGGGTTTCGGGCGCCACGCCAGGACTGAGCAGGGACCTGTGAACGGGTGGCGAGGACTGCCACCCGTTCTTCCGACCTCGCCACCCCCCCCCCCCCCGGGGGGGGGGGGGGCGAGGACGGGCAGGCACCCGGTGGCTGGCTGACACGGAGGCTGACCGCCAGCTGAGCCCTTAATAGCTACCTCCCCTTTAGTAAGCCGCGGAAAATCGCCTCAAAAGAAAATTATGGCACATTTAAACAGTGCTCACTTTTAATGACACTGGTGTAACAATGTGGGAACTTCTTGCGTCTCTTCGACGCTTAGTGCCCTGTTTCTCGTTGCGCTGATAGCGCCGCTGTGGGTTTTGTGACTGATTGGCCATTATGTGACCGTGAATAATATGTTGGTGTTCTTTGGCAGACCTCCTGCGCACCTTAGCTGGGTGCGGCCCGGGCGACATTCTGAAACTGGTGACGTCCGAAGGACAGCTGGTGACGCCAAAGTTCCTGACTGGCTCATCAGCACGCTCCGAAGGCACGCTCTACCGACTCACAAAGGCCGCCTCGCACGTTTGCGGTGGGTACCGCTATGGACAGTGTGCGGCTGTCAGCCAGCAGGCGGCAGCACTGCTGTTCTCGGTGTCACTCGTGCCTCCAAAAGGGTGACCGAAGGAAACACTTTAAGATGTTGGTAATTCTTCTGCAAAGTATGTAGACAAAGGCGCGCATGGGGGTGATGCAGGCCGTTATGGGACGCGTTGTGACGCCACGGGAGTCACGGAGCTTTTTGAAATACGCGTTTGTTTTATTCGTCCACCTATGGAGTTTAGGTATGCATCCAGCATTTCTTAAGACAGCACTTATGGCGTTGCTCCTCGTTAAATAGCTAAGAGAAAAAATTGGAGATGCATTGGTATTTCGGCTACAAGCCTTTATCAAAGCCTTCAAAATTGGCCGCCGATCCCACGTGATTTTCTTATTTGTTTTGGACAGCGGGCCACGATTTTCACGGGTCACTAACGTTCAAGGATACTGCAGGGAGTAATTTCCAGCCATTATCACGAATCAGTGAAAATCCATTTAAGGCTAAAAATCTCGAAAAAAGGCGTCATCGTACCGAATTCCGGTAGGCTGGTGTCACGCATGACTAAAAACGAAGTAAGGTAAACACGCAAACATGCAAACAATTTCGAGTTAACACGCATTACGCATTAAGACATTAATCACAGTCGCATAATCGGCCTTGATGACCTCTGCACACTGAGATCTGGTTGCCGACTTCTCACAAGAATGGACCGACTTACTCTCCTTTCTGGATGGTCTCTGTTCTGCATATGACTTGAATATTAAAATGGGTGTAGGGTCCATACCTACCTGGGTTTCAGCCTGAGTCTGTTGAAACCACATGACATCTTGGCTTGCCCAAATGACATCTATTGCCCCCAGGCACCAACATTTCGGAAAGGATGCGCCAGATACCTGTTTAGCTTACTCTCATCCTTTCAAGCTATGCGCAAGTACGGTTTTCATTTTTAACGATGTAGTTGATCATCCAATGAAAGTGTTCATCTGTGTAGGCAATTTTAAGTAGCCGTCATCCAACCGAGCATGTCTGGACCTATTACATAAATCTTCCTAAAAGTCAGGGAGAGTATCTGTTGCCCAACAGCAAACCATATTTTCTTCACCATTTTGTCTACCTTTGGACTAAGGTAGGGCTGTTTGAGCTGTTTAATACCGCATGCAACATTTTTCGAATTACATTGTGCTGGTGGAGACTAGATGCGCAGATTAATTGTGCGAAATTATACCATATTTCGTGGGCTTGCTATGCAGGTCCTTTTCAACCGTTGTGGGATTGTTCCTCCCTTCTACACTTCACTAGTGTGTCAGAATATGGTAAACCCTTTCCCTTTCCTACGGGATCCGCCGTAGAAGCCAGTTTGGGACGCTAGTTATTCGTCAACCATAAATATGCTTTAAGGGCACGCTATCTGTGTGTCCATTTTCCAGCATAATTACCAACACATCTAAGAAAGCTGGTTTGAATGGGTGGGCGGTCAGGGTCCTCGTTTCAACACAGTCCAAAACTATAATCGCCAAAGGAGGTGCGGATAGGTCCCCCATAGTAATGCCCAGTTTTTGTCGATGGTGGACATCTCCGAACGAGACCACATTACTCTGGAGACAATGCTCTGAAAGGCCACGGACATTCACTTAAGACAGGCCAAAAGAATCAATCTGATGCAAATGGTCGTCTACATTAGCTTTATCGGCAGCGATTGCCTAATTGAGTGGTCTGTTGCAGTATGTATTGGCAACTTCCACAATAAAGAAAATGAAGCATTCTGGTAAACTTTCTGCCTGAGAATGATTCAAAACTTCTTTAAAAAGTCTCTGGTGTCCCACAGATGAGTGGGAACAAGCGACGAGAGTTAGAAGAATATTTTCCGGAAAAGACACCAAGCTTTTCTTAAGGACCACCGCACGCAAATGTGACGGATCTAAAGGGCACTGCAGGCTTATGATCCTCAGGCCACCCACAGAAAACAGATGTCCTAACGTGTTTAGGTGTCAGCTCTTTGATGCTTTTGTCCAAAATTTTTTACCAACTGTGCTCTTCAGTGTTTTTTTTTGTTCTAGCTACCACCTGAGAGGCTGGGTTCATCTTCGCCTTTTTATAGCTGTCGCTGCCGCGATGTGTAGCCCGAGTCTTGTCCACATGAGTTGGCTTGTCTAAGATTACAAAGTGCTTACACTTATCGCTCTGTTTAACGTCTATACCGTCGTTGTTCCTGAGGTCTCTGGTGAACTTCCGCTGATGCGATTCCAGTGACATTTAATTTCCCCACTTCATACTTTTTCAAGGTGCATAGTGCATCATCCTTCAATTTCGGCAGGCTGAGTTCCACATGAGCGCACGAACTTGATATAGAAAAGAAAATCCTCCGACCCCTGTTTGGCTGACATTATGTGTTGAAAGCTCTTATTTTGATTTAACGATCTTCAATATTTCAGTATATCAGGAGATACTGGTTAAATGACGTTATAAACCTAACTAACGATTATATTGATGGCACTCGATATTTCGAGCTGTGCTCATTGTCAAGAGCCGCAAGAGGCCGGAAAGGTTCAGCGAAATATAACACTTGCAAATTAAGACTCATGACACCAGAAAATATCCTTGATCTGCGCAGATACTGCCACTACAGTCAAAAAGGGGGGTCAAAAAGGAAAATCATCCAGGCTCCCATCACCGCGCATACCGTCTAACGTTAAAGCCGCAAAAGGATATTTAGAAATGAACATATCATCAATGATAATAGAAGAACATTATCTACCGCACATCAGCCACCACAGACTTTGCCTGGACCTCGGGAACGTGCATAGCCAAGAACATGTTGTTCACGTCAGCTCCCACGATGAAGCGTGTACGTTTACCTGGGATGGACGTTCCCAATGTTCAGCGATTCTAAGATCTTCAGTTTAAAGGCGGTTTTTCTTAAGATTTCCATTGTTTCCAGGTGTTGCCGAAATTTCCCTTTCAATTCTTATTTCGTATTTGATATCTGTTGTGCTTGCTTCGTCGTTACGTGTCAATCTACCATGCATTCTCCTAGTGGTGTATACGCTCTCCGTAAACATGCCTTCTCGTGGTGTTAACTAAACCGATACATTATTATATATTCCATTTTGTCAATCAATATCAATTATCAATATTCCATTTTGTTTCTCCTACATAACATATCCCAGCACAAAGGTCGCAAGAACCTTGTACGCTACGCTCTTCCTCGTGCAACTGTCCCGCGGTCCTTTCACACATGTTAAGCAAATCCTACTCCAAGGTGGACACATTGGCTTCTCTAGCGGTAACGCCCTAGCATGGGCCTAAAGCACTAGGACCAGCAATCCACGCTACCCTAAGGCCGTGCATACTGCCCACGCGTACGGCGGCATTTGCTTGTTTGCACAGGTCGTCGTCTATAAAAGGGAGTTTCCTATAGGCTTCATTTGATTGGTTTACCTTTTTACAACTTCTACGCATGCCTGTCGTTGAGTTAAATCGACAACGTCCGGGACAGGTAGCAGGCCTATCTCTATATTTGGATTTCGTCCATAATCTGGCATATTGGAGATCGCTGATTTAACGTAAAAACTTTAAAGTCAGTGCACGGAGGTTCTGGAAAGTCTTAAACGGTATCTGGAGAGATTAACGACAGGTTCGGCAGGTAAGCTCGACGCGACTGACCGCCGTCGCTATCATCTGCGTCTGCCCCACCTATGCCTCGTGGCGGTGCGTTCGCCGGTCTTGGTGGTACGACTGCGTCGTCTGTTGAATTTACTTGTGGTGCCACTTCTTTCTGAGAGCTGGCAGTTAGGAAGGAGGCGGTACAACGATGCTGCCATGACACTATCTAGATATGCATTATTTCCTCATCTTAGCATATGCCAAACGCTCAACTCCTTCAACTTTTTCAAGTAAAAATGCCTATAGACTGACTGCATCAGTACAAAGTTCGCACCTTTGGCCAGAAGAATAAGACCTGCAGTATTAAGCACTACGGACCAGAAATCTGACGCCGGGCTTAGGCATTTTCACCTGCCGCCTAACGTTCTGTCGGACGACGGCTTTTGCCTTGCATAGACACTTGGAAATCGAGGCTTGTTAAGACCGACACTGCCTTGCATAGATGAGAGCTTGCTTTGGAAAACCAAACATATCACTGGAAAATAAAAACTGCATACGCATGGCTTGGATTAAAAAACCATAATAGTCTGGTGAAATCTTCCATCTCGTGGCCTAAATGCCCAGGAAACTGTATGCCATGTATGTGTGTAGGGGTTTCACGGGTATTGCACTCATATAATCTTGGGTCACGAAATTAAGTGTAATATGTGAAGTCTATGTAGCATAGTCCATCCGCCATATTTGTCTGAGAGTTGATGGTAATGTTCTAAATAGGAAGATTTTGCTAAAAGCACCAGATAGGATGAATTTTAAGTGTATAAGACTGCTCTACGGAACACAAAACCACTATTTGGTGAGCATTTTCTTCCATACGTCATCGTTTGACTACGTCATGGACGTGTATATGACACCAGTTTCGCTGCCAAACTGGTCGTTTGAGAACCACCATGAGAGCGGACTTGTACTTCGCTTGTCAACAGCTGATAGTGTTTCCTGAACCCGAATTTTGTTACAAGCTGGTGTTTTTGACCTCTCTCGTGGTATTCTTGTATAGCTGTTCGTGATTTTATATTCCTGCTTCCTGGGTCACATCCCCGGTTATGGCGCTTTTCTTCAGTTATTTGATTCTCAGTCCTATTTCCGCCATAACGCGTAGCACTGCTCAAACTCCAACATTATATAGCACAAAACGTCATTCGTGTTCCAAACACGCACTCTACGTTTTACGTTCGTTGAAAGCCAACTGACATTCGTTAATGCCGCAAATATTGCTGCCGCACGCCAGCTATGAATCCAAAATCATATTTTTCTTAAACATGGCCATTGACGTGCCGTTATTCGCGTGACGCTTCCATGGCGTCCCGCATGCCTGGGTAACGTTGAAGTAGTTTGAACAAAGTCGTCTGCACATGTTTGAGAGGGCTATTGCAGTTCAAAACCCCATGTAGATGTGGAAAACATCCTTGGAACGACGCTGTTGGGAGGACCACCAGACGTTTTTACCCCTGTCATACAGCCTTCAGCAGTTTTCAACTACTGTTCATAGCTGTTTTGATAAGTACCTGTGCCCCAAAAGTCAATACACCTGTCCTTTCTCCTTTAGTTATCTAACGAGGTTGAGGTCAGTTGTACCGTCTTAGTATGTGTAATATTCCTCGTAACTACATTGAACAATGGTTAAAGTAGCATGTTTATCGATCTTGCCGCAGAACCGCCTTTGTTGCCCTCACAAACTTGTTTAAATGCTTTTGAATTGTTGTAACACGTTTTTGTCATAGTTATCAGATAGTGCCACTCTCCTACTTGAACTATCATTCCATTTTAGGTCACAGCTGTTTATTGACCTGATGGCGCAGTCTGAATTCCACTGATTGAATGAAGTATTTTTGTACAATAAATTCCTTTAACGTTTCCAAAATTCAGCCTTGGAATCAAGTTGTGAATATGATATGTGTATGCTAGCATACATATATGATACCACTAGATGGAAACGGCTATGCCCAGTTCGTGCTCGGAGCACAGAAAGGCATTGTCTTTACATTTAACTAAAGCCACACGTATGAGTGTCCGGCGTATGCCTTAACGATAACATCTCGGACGCAAGTAAATGAAGCGTCGATTTCGTAAGTTGTGAAGTGCATTTACGAGGAACATTTTGCGCATAGCTTTATTTATTATTGCGCAACAGCCTTATTCCTCGTAGAAAAGAAACCAGGAGAACTGAAATAAATATGCCTTGATATTTTGGCGGTATGCCTTTATCGAACTGAATAGCACAAGTAAATTCGAACTCACTTCTGCTATTCATTTCGATAAAGGCATGTTGGCGAAATATCGGTGCATCTTTATCTCTATTCTTTTGTTTTTTTATCCGCGGAATGAATGACAAATTATTGCTATGTTTTCTATGAGCGTTGATCACGGCTGTTTAACTCGTGCATTTCACGAAAGAGAAGCGTCAGTTTAGGTTTCCCGTAACTCGCCCGGTTTACTTCAGTTTGCTAGTTTGCCTGCGAGCCTTTGCTCTTCTGTAGCTGCTATTCATCTTTCGATCGCACACATCTACCAGTACTTAACATGGTTGCTGCCCGTCTAGTGGTGTTATAGATCTATGCATAGAAGTAAAACTGGCAACATCCCAATATAACCTTGCACCTCACGTCGGATGAAAACATGGCGCTTGTAAATCTTATTCAGATTCACGAAGATGATGTAGTAATGCTTGACCTATCTCTCTGCTTTCAGGGAGAAACATTCTATCGAAGGAAGAGGATTTGCGGCTTCTTAAAGAAAGGCAAGTGTAATATGTCACTTGCCAAAATGGGATTGTGATGTTCTCTCGGCATGCTTTTCTTCTGAAACCCGAATTGTTCTCCTATGTCGTTGTTTGTTGACATGATATCGGTTCAAGTTGCCAGCCATACCAGTTGTTATAAGACTTAACGATATTTGCATCTATGCATTCTTCGCAAAAATGTGTGCATATATATATATATATATATATATATATACATAAATATATACTCGTGCACTTAGGAAGTCTGCTTTCGTCACTGCAAGTTTTGTGATATGCAAAGGCAAATGTACATCAGCTTCTTGCGTGGTTACTCGATCGTTCGAATTAAATCCTTCGTTGTTTTCGGTAAGACATAAATCAGTTCGCTTATAGTCATTTACATCAGTTTCAGCTAGCTAACGTTTCAAGGACATTTGTTCCCCATTCTCAAAGAAATGTAAAACAGTTGGACGGAAGCATTCCAATATAACGAAATACGACGCATGCTCTACGACATATAATCAAAGAAAAACCACCAGTTAACAGATTATGCATCCTAATATCAGGTCAAATTGCAGAACACACTTAACACGCGTGCATCACTTTCCTAACCATTTCCACACCATGACAAAATCACGGCGTCGAATCATCCTGCTGTAATTGGGTGACTGAACAGGTCCAAAGTGATGCATTACCTAAGCTGTTTGCTTAAACCAGGCATTCTTTCTCTGATGAGGATGGCTTCGAGAACTTATGAGCGGCATTCGTTTGGACTTCATTTTATAATCTGTTTTCAGTTGGGTCAGAGCGTGGGATATTTTTATTGTGAATTTTGCGCATATGCTGGTCTGACGCTGCCTTCTGCAAATGTGTTGTCATGTGTCTTGATAGAGATGTTGTGATAGTGATGACCACTAGACAAGAAACCGGCCCATCAACTTTTAATCGAAGTCAAATGTCCCTGTCATGTAAAGTGGACGAAAAGGGTTGGCAGAACGCCGCCAGGTAAAATATCATACCAGCCGATGAAGACACTGCAATACCTTACCATCTATTAAAAGGCAGGACAACTAGCCACCTTGTGATGAAAAACAACCTAACCGGAGACGAAAACCAGCTAAAGCGCATCAATACAGTGAACGAATTTAAATGTCCCACCTTAGACCGACTAAAACCAACTGAACCAACCAAACAACCAAAAACCAACTATAACGCATCAATACAGTGAACGAATGGAAATGTTCATCCTGAGACTGCTGGCTCCCCGGCTGGACCTACATTAGAATGACCACGGCATGTTTATCACGATGCGTGACAATGATCCTGAAGAAGGGGGCGCCAGACCTGCATGTGAGCAAAACTCATAATCATAATGTCAAAACAAACGCCGTTTGCAAGTTCTCGGAGCCATCCCCACCAGAGAAAGAATGCCTGGTTTAAACGAACAGCTTAGGTCGTGCATCACTTTGGAACTATTCAGTCACCCATTCATAGCAGGATGGTTCGGTGCCTTGAATTTGTCATGGTGTCAGAATGGTCGGAAATGTGATGTATGTGTGTTTGAATGCCTTTTGCACATTGCTGTGAGGATGGGAACGAATGGCCTTGAAACGTTGGTTAGCAGAAACTAATATAGGTGGACTATAGGTGAACTATACGTAAACTGATCTATGAGTTACCCAAAGCAAGGGGGGATCTCATTCGAACAATCGGGCGAACGCGCAAGAAACCGATTAAATGTACATTTGTCTTTGCATATAACGGAAGTTGCACACATATAAATGCATTTATGCATATGCAGGAGTGCCGATTTCTATTCTATTTTAAGGATCCTTCTCCCGCTAGGTTGATTCCCCGTCAAAGTTGGTTTCGGGCCCCAAATTGTTGGCTGGGCTGTTAAGAAAATTTTACAAAAAAATACATGTCACACATACCTGATGTGTGTACCTTATACATACATACCTATTACATATCTTATGCCCATACATGCCACACTTACCTTCTTTGGTTATCATTCGCTGGCCACTGACTACTATGCTTACTTAATGAGTGGCTATAACTACTAAATGACCACTAACGATCGCTGCCCTTTGAATAAAGAGCTATTTGATCGTTAGAAATAAAAATCACCGTTTGTCAGATTGCAGAGCCTGTTTCACATTGAAAGGTATTGAGGCGAGCATCCGATATCATGGAAAAAGCTCTCTTGTAAATATTGATGTGTTCGTAAGTACAAAACTGCTCTAAATCACAAAGTGTCACCAAGCAACAAGTATGCGCTTTAATACGTTATCGCGCGATTACGCCACTGAACATTTTCATGACGCCAGGGTCGCTTCCGAAGCTGCCGCGTCAGACTTAACGCCGTAGCGGATGGCGTCCCTCATTTATGGTACTTCTACGCGCCACAAGGTGGCGTTGTTGGTTTATGTGCGTAAATTATATCTACCGACGTTCGTTGCGCATGCTTTTGTCTTTTGTCTTGAATATTTTACCGTGATGGCAAGTTCCTTACTGGAATTTGCGTTTTCGTTTAAGACGTTATTCTTAAGTTGTTGAAATATCGGTGTCATGTCCGTCGCATCTAGCAGTTGCCAAAAACCGATATTATTCACGGCAAAACGCTAACGGCAATTGAGACATTCGCCCCGTTTTCCTTATTCTTTCTTCATCCCGAGTCCTTGCAACAACCCGTTTGTCCAGGCAGGATACATGCATCCGCTATGTGGGCTTGTGCCTGCTCCATTTGAAAGGGACCCCGCTCGAGCGCCCAGCGCATGGCCTGCATAGGCTCCCTGTGCGGGCTTATGCTCGGTGGCTAGACCTCCACGTGCGTGCAGATCCGCCCCAACGTTATCCACTCTCATTCCTCCTATAGCCCTGAAGTGGTCATTACTGACGTCAAGGGCTCTAATCCGAACAATCCAAACAACGTAAAATAGCGATTGAGATATGTAGTTAGCTGAGTAAATTGGTTGTTAGCCAAAACCCTTCTGTCAATGCGATTCTTTGCGTTGCATTGCCGTGAAATTTAAATGTTCAAGTGGCCATGCTTTTTCATGACCATGAGCACACTACAGCAATTGGGCAGGATATTTGGGTGATATCTCTGACATCTTGCAGATCTGGGTAACTTCCAAATGGGCGGCGTGTAACAAACTGCCTGAGAATGCGAACATCAAGCGAGAGGAACATCAAGCGAACAAGAAACGAGAGGGTTTTTGGTCTTAAAAAAGCATGGCTGTGAACTGCAAGGAACAGTCATGGAAATCAATGTCTCAGTTAAAAACCTTTACATAAATGGAACGGCTTTTTTAAAGTAGGGTAAATTCGTGGAGAAGCACACCTTTGGGAGTAAAATGGCTGGGCGAGCACGTGGTCCTCCCACCCAATCACTTACACCAATGATCACCCACACGATTTGGTTCGTGTCATAGAGCAATGTTTACAGGAGCAGATGACACGACTTGATTTGCTCTCCGACTGCTCATGTGCTGTAACACAATCTCCTAACAGCCAGATGAACTTTGCACACGGATTTACTTTATAGTACGGAAGTGTATCAGTGCATTGTAATCTTAGAACATCTGGGCGGTGAAAAGCTGACGCAACCAATCGGGGATTCGAGATATATGGTGCTGTATTGTTTCACCCTTCCCTGGCGTGCCCTTCTGCGGCTGAAGCGAGAAATTACGACCTTTGGGGCCGACTGGAGCAGTTACATGTCTCGTAAAGCTAAAACGGCTAGTTTCTGCGAGGCATGGCCTCAGGTGTCTGAAGATGTTGACACAATGATTTGCAATGACGGGGAAATATTAACATAACGTTGCATTTTTTTCAACAACTGTATTCTCATCAGTATGTATTCCCATCATCTCATCTCATCTCATCTCATCTCATCATCTCAACACCGCAACCTCTTGTGACCCTGATAAACAGGACGCGCAGCCAGGGCTACCTCGCTGCTGCGATTCATTCGGGCATCCGCTATATCTCCCTCGGAAATGCTGAAATACAGACTTATGCTTTGCTAGGGATGAGATTGGAATTAACTCCGAAATTAATCAAACATTGGTTGTGTCCCGATAAAATCCATGCCACTGCCAGACCCGAATATGACACAGCCTGGGTTGAGCCAATTTTCCTCGCTGGAATCGTCGATGGATCAATACAAATCAATGTTAGCAGCAATCGCCATTCCTAATGTAAGTTTATGTGGGCCGCAGTGAGCAGCTTATGTGAGCCGCAATGAGCAGCTTACATGAGCAGCTTAACAGCAAGGGAATACTGAACGCTTTCTACATTTGGTATATAGACATATATCGTATGCTGCTGTAAGTGCCATCTACTGTCCTGGACATAGGCGCTTCATATAACGCGCATTATCATGGATGGAATAATTGTTCGGTCCAGCAGCGCGTTGGTTTATACACCACGTTTCGGCCACCCAACCCTCCAACCGTCGTCGGGTGTTATTGCAGGTTACTGGCGGAAACGTTATGTACATACTTACACACCAGGCGAGGACGGCACTCCAATGAATCATTTCATTCGTGATACTCAGACTCAAGCTTCCCATAATACAGGCTATATGTTTATCCACTCTCACGAGAGCGAAATACTCCATCGAAATTGGTTTCGGAATTCAGCTAGGCATACGTGAGTCCGAATCAGAGTCTCCTCAGAATCACACGCTACTACTTGAAGCGAGCTTCGGAACAAATACTGTGTGCTGCAAGTGGAAATCGATTTTGTGGAAGCGCAGTCACACACAAATAAACTCAACTGCCATCAAAGTTATCTGCTGAACAACTTCTCCTTGTAACCTGAATGATTCTGTCGGAACAGAGGCCCGCGCCGTATGCGTGCGTCATATATACTTTTCATATACACACGCACACACACACACACACACACACACACACACACACACACACACACACACACACACACACACACACACACACACACACACACACACACACACACACACACACACACACACACACACACACACACACACACACACACACACACACACATATATATATATATATATATATATATATATATATATATATATATATATATATATATCATGTAATATATGCATATATATATAAATCATATTCTCATAATGTACACTTATCTTTAGAACGACCAACAAAAATGTTCCTTGGGACTAGTTCCTACCAGATGCGGGTGAGCGTCGAGGTGGTGTGACCGTGCTGCGGTCAGATGTCATGTGCTGTGTTACGTGAGACCTGCATCTCATATGCTGTGTCACGTGAGAACTAAATCTCATGTACTGTGTCACGTGAGACAAAAATCTCGCGTGACAGATGGGGTTGTCGTCGGCTGTCTGGCATGACGTTTCATTTTCAGTTAGGACGTGAATTCTGACATTTTCAGACTCGACAGCCTTGAGACAAAGCTTCTGGAGAGTGCTAGACCAGTGCCGCCATCTGTTAAAGACCTGCAAACTAACGTTTGGCAGCTTCTTCGCCAGCTACACAGGATCGACCTAATCGACTGGCTCGGTAAGTGGACCAACTGAAAATAAGTTTTTTCACGGTCAAAATAAGTTGTGATTTTAGAGACGTTCCTTTCACAACGCATGACGTAAAGCCTAAAACGGCATCTTGATATCAAAAGATTATTTGAGCAACACTTAGTTATTACTACATTGGTTCTTCGCCTATATTTTTATCTTTGCCCTCCAGAAAATGGCGCAATGGCCCTTCAAAAATGTCACCCAGGCTGCCTGAGTCTTGAAATAGTTTTTTTACGTAGACTGTAAGTTGTCTGACTGCCTGTAAGGCGAATGACTGCCACAGGCATTCTGTCATTTTCAAGTCAGAATGACTGTCATAGTCTCTCTGACTCCTGGAAGCCAGGTGTGGTGTCTAAAAGCCACCAGACCATTTGATGCGCGTGCATATCCCGTATAAATCGTGCTTACAAGTGCATTACCTAAGAGCAGTGCTGTGTAGGTCCACGTTGCGGGGCAGAGCGCGATCATTTAGCATTTTACAGTTGAAACTGTGCCTTGGACATTTCTCAACATTGGAAGCCTTTGCTACGTAATTGCTTTGGTCTAGTAAACAACCCTTCCCTCATTGGGGACTTTTCCACCACCAGAGTTAAGACGCTCAAAGCTAAATGACTACTGCCGCGCTTCGCATAATCCGAGCAGCAGAAAAACGTCAACTCTCCCGAGAGAGTTAAGAGCGCCATACAGCTCTTGCCAATTTACGGACGATGTGGTATGGGTAGATCTTTTCGTGCTCGTGTTTTGCAAAATAGGCCTTTGCATAAAGCTCTAATCTACGAGAGCAGTCATTTTTTGGGCCGCGCATCTTGTCATTTCTATTATTTGTTCATGCATTTCGTGTGTGCAGGGAATGCAAAAATGATAGGTATAAATTTTAGAATCCTCGCACAAAACTTTAACATACAGTTTGCGACTGGCTTTAAATATTCAATATGCTCCTTCTGAAGCATGAGAAGAGTGAGATGATGGCGGACGTCGTTGTTATCACCACGTGCATGACGTCAACGGATGGCCGAGCGAATACAGCCCATCGCTATTGGAAAAAAAACATGCAAATAGAAAAATGACTTATCAGTGCAATGGTATGTCCTCTTTTCATGAGTTCAGCAGGCGGATGTGCACTTGGGGCGTATGCGCGTGCATCTGTAAACATTACTTGAAAACACACTGGGTTGCTGGGTATGGGTCTGCCCTCGCCGGACAGTTTCAAGTGTTGTTTCTACAGCCTTGGTTTCAAACGACGCATTCGATGAATTCACAGTTATTTGCTGCTTTGGCAAGTTTGCCGTCCGAAGGCAAAAAGGCTCAAACGCCATCAGATAAATTGTTCAAGAGAAACATTGTTAGGTTTTTGGTGAGTTTAACATGCCTATGCCATAAACAAAAAATATTTGAATGTATATTGAACACAGCTTTTTCAAATTTTTGGCTTAACATTACTAGATGCAGTTCTTCGGCATGCATCGAGTGGTCTACGTAACTCCATTTCCGAAAAATGTCAGCCCTCTTTACCTCCATACAAAGCATAAGCATCATGGGTGAAGTAACTGTTAGGACTATTGCCCCATCTGGTATGTTCGTACTTACACAGCGTTTCGGCCAAATAATTATCCAGCGTCTTCAGGTCTTATTCAGCCCTGAGAAATGATTGATGATGTTCAGCCATGTCCGCGCCACAACCCGAATTCTCTCCTTGGAATCGGCAACACTCTAACTGGGATCGGCCGATTCCCGGTTAACTCGGTAATAGAAAAGAGGACTCGTAATCGCTACATAATCGTTGAGATAGGAGACTGAAAAGGATCGATTGGATTGTGGACAGTTGGACCGGACTGGATTGGACTGTACAAGTTTAATCCTAGAATTGCGCCACCAGCGGGTAGTCAGTGGGTGCATGACGCCTTGTGCTGGCTGCTCATCTTGGGATTGTTATATGCGAGTTAGCATTAGGATAGCCAAACCAATACAGATATGTCCATCAATGCTTATCAAAGGTAGTGTCCCTCATTTTTTGTACTTTGGCTTAGTGTTGTACCAGCCGCGTACGATTTGATCCCAGTATACGCGTATCGCGTATCATTCAAAAGGGAAGTAGGGCTCCTCAGCAACCGAGGGTAACCCAGCATTTCAACTTATGGGTACCCCGGCGTATAGATAGCGTATATGTCTAACGTATAGAGTACTTCGGGCAAATGAAAATAATCCGTGGAAAGCTCCTAATTGACAGAGAGTGCCAAGGCACGCTAGCAGGAAGGGCTACAGCAACAGCGCAAGGCCTTCCGAGCAAACGCAAAGAAATCAGCGACAACGTAGAAGGCTCTTACGATCGGATCGGCTTTGCAAGTGGACATTAAGGGCCCACGGAAACAGCGCAGGGTCTCTGGACAGCGCAATGAACATTACAACGTCCCAATCGCCACCCTTCTCAGTCAGTGGCAAATAATTTTTGTCCGCTCGCGGGCTCTTTACTTTCGCTTGCGACTGTTACTGGCCGCCTGAAAGCCCAAAGACCTTCAAGCTTGTTGCGACCTGTGCAAAAAACCGTCTGTTTAGCCGGCTATGGGCCCGTTCAGAGGCTATGGGCCCCTCCGGGGCCCAAAGAAAGTCATGACCCCGCGCCCCCCTCTGAATCCATCGCTGGGTACGGACGCGTAAGTCTTCTCAATGAAAGCCTCTACCTTTATCCACGCGCTGCGGCCTATGCTGATATGTAAACTGGGTCTTGTCAGCTGCACGGAGGTGTCGGTCAGTCCGCCATCATGTCCAATATCTGCCCAAGCTGAACGCACGTTTTAATAACATTGCTCTTTGACTACCACACTTACACAAGATGACCTGGGAAATGGCACCACTAGGCTGCGCCTCGGGCAATGCACCTTGGGTTATGGCAATGTAATAATAATATGGCAATATAATGAGGCAATGCGGCTTTAGGGTATTGCTACCGGGGCCATATGAGATTGGTGTAGTGGTGTGATGACAACTTCTTATCGACATTGTACCCGTCTTGCCCTACGTATATTACAAAACATCCCCGACCAACCTGCGACAGCCTACACCGCTCCTACCTTGCCTTACTCAAACCTACCAGCCAAGAGTGACATCAGTCCTCGTATTTCCAAGTTTTCCGTAATGTGGAGCGATGTTGACAACGATTACAAACTTCCTGTAGACAGAGCTGGGTAATTTGAGAACGCTTGTAAGTTGATCCAACCCCGTATCTCCTCTCCCAAGATTCCATTGTTTCCGAGCGGCCTCCTGGTAATACGTTTGGGAAGCTCTGCCTTTCCCGTATTGACGTGAACGGTGCTGGGCGAACGATGAGTGTGTTCCGAGCGTTTAGCCTATTTTAATCCATATATGTGAATATTTCCGAGAATTTAAAGCGTTTTCTGTTGTCTTTAATGCCGAAAATATCGCTTGCTTACAGACCCACGTGATTTTGACCACGTATGATCCTGAAGTCTTCATAGATTTCGCGCGGTTAAGTTTGAAAGTAAATCGTCTGGCGTGCTGTTTCATTTGTGATGTAGTGGGAACACTTGCTTCAGCACGACTGTGGGTCAGACGATCATAGCTTAACTTACCTCACTACAGGAGCGGCACACCAGAAGCTCCGCGTCTGGCTCGTGCCAATACTTCCAATAAGTTCAGATTGGGAACATTTTTTGATAACTTAGGAAGAGTGTTGGAAAGGCTCCCATTCTCGCCTGAGGACATTTACAACGTTAATGAGACGAGGGAAACCACGGTGCAGACACCGAAAAGGGTCGTGACGAAAAAGGGATCGAGGAAGGTAGACTTCATTACTACTGCAGAAAGAGGAGAGATTTACACGCTGGTTTGTGCAGTCAACGCCGTTGGGAATTATGTCCCACCACCCGTCATCTGTCCTAGACTGAACTGTTAGTACAACATCCTTCGAGGCACATCTACCGGCACTGCAGGATGTGCAGCGAGGGGGAAATGGATAAACCAGGACATATCCCTCGGATACCCCACCCACTTTCAAAGACACACTCGGTATTCAGCAGAGATACGAGTCTTCATCATCCTGGACAACCACGCCGCTCATAGCGAGTCCTCATCATCCTGGACAACCACGCCGCTCATAGTGAGTCCTCATCATCCTGGACAAGCACGCCGCTCACTTCGGACAAGTGAGTTTGCTCGCGCCGACGAGAGCACGCTTCTCACGCTTCCGCGCACACTTCTCACCTCCTTCAGCCTCTGGACGTAGTGGTATTCGGTCCGCTGAAGACCTACTACAACAGGAGGGTGACGAACTGGATGCGGCAAAGTCACTGAAACAAGGCGGTGAGGACAAAGCGGTGAGGATCTGCGACGTGCCACAAATCGTCGATGTCACGTACACCAAGGCCTTCACCGGATCCAACATTCAGTCTGCGTTCAAAGCGACTGAAATATTCCCTTCCAACAGAGAAGTCTTCCTAGAGCACGTCTTCTTGCCGGCAGATGTGCCCGACAGGCCGCTACAGGATACCCCGGCGCCGGACTAAGTGGCGCCCTGCAGGGAGAGGACGCGTCGGGCTCGGTATCGGGTTACGAACTGACCTGGGACCGATGGGTCAATTCTGGCCACACCAGTCACCTATGTTACCGTGGAGGCGATATCGCCAATACCAAGATTTCTTTGACGAAAGAGTGGAGCAGTCAATGGGAAGCGGGGAAGATCGATGGTACTGACATCGACTCCCGCAAAGAAGCAACAGAAAACGAGGAGGAACGCGCTATGCGGGAAAGCAAAGCCACGAGGCGGAAAGGCGAAGCGGAGGTCGACCAAGGATAGAGTGTCGTCTTCCAACGGTGACAGTGATGAAGATGTGATGTGCTTGGTATGCGTGGGCCACACAGCCTCAGCCTACACGAATATAGGTGGATCCAGTGTATCACTTGCGAGATGTGGGTACACGGGGCATGCACGCCCGCCAATTGCTGGTACGATTATCACAACTGCTCTTTGGATTCGTTTTATGTGGCTACGATCTGACAATTCTGTTCCAGTGCATCATGCTACTGTTCCTCGCGTCACTCACGACGTTT